GACCGAACCCCCCGAACCTCCCCAAACTACGGGCCTGATTATATATACTGAATAACAAACCCTTTGCGCAAACAAGATTCTCAAAAACCATTAAATAATTATGCAAATTTTCGCTGCTTTCGCTGCGGCAAACACAGTGATGAGAGAATGGAACGCCGGATTAACCAATCATTCGACATATTTTAAAATAGGTCACTGTCCTTGTACACACTCATACCAATGTCTTGGATAAAATGGTTACAACTTTTCATTTCGTCTGGGAACATCTGTAATAATAAAAAAATGTTTGGTTTTTTTGGGGGAGGGCGGGGTGCAAATGTTTCGGCGTCGCCCCTTCAAAAACAATGCAGGAAATAGCGTTTCAGAGGGTTTAGTTCTATTGCACTGAAAAAGAAGGTTATTGTCTATTTTATGTGTTACCTTTTTGGAAGCGTCTTTCTAAATATTTATTCTAGTTCTCACTTTCATCTCTCGTATTACTCTAATCGTCAAACAACTTAATATCAAAAATCAAATTTTGCAGCAAATAACTAAGGCTTCATTCGGATTTGTACTCATTTGGCTACGAATAAAGATATAAAATGCATGCATAACAAGAACAATATAGAGATATAAAGTACCCGTTTCAAGGAACCCTTACATATGGTGTCATTGCGAGCTACTGATTTGCTAACCAAACCAACCCTTACATATGGTGTCATTGCGAGATACTTACTAGATTGTACCTGATTGGCTAACCAAACCAAACACTTAACAGTTAAACCAATCAGAAAGTAGCTTGTTTGTTAACAGGATATTTTCGGTCGTATCAAATTCTACTTTGTATATGGACTCAACTATTCATATATGTTCACTGGATTATAGATTATAACAGTTGTCAAGGAAATGGAAAGTCACAAAATAATGTGAGAGGAAATCTATCTATCCAGCCCAATATGACATGTGGATTTCTAAATATATGTCTGATGTATTTCCACATCATATGTTGCTATTCCAGTTGAGTCGACATCTATTGTATATTTTGAATTAAATCTATAATACATACCAGAAATCGTACTCGTTATAAATCCCATCCGGGAAATCTAGAATGCAGACAATTCGAACACCATCAAAGCAAGGAATATAGATCAGCTGCGCGTAGACCAGATTAGGAAAACAGATTACACCAGATAATACCCATACCAGGAAAATAATACTTTTTGCTTTTGTCTTTGACATCCTTGGTTTCATCGGGTGAACTATGGCTATGTATCGATCAACGGCAATTGCGGAGAGAGTAAAAATGCTGGCGGTAACCATGAGAGTGCCGGTAAATTTGGCTATTTTGCAGTAGACGAATCCAAAGTACCAAATGTTGTTCAACAAAAAGGAAAAGTTAAAAGGAATGTTCAGAATAGCTATCAGAGCGTCGGCAAATGCCAGATTGAGAAGAAAGTAATTGGTGACTGTTCTCATCCTTCGATGTGCTAACACTATCCATATAACAATAATGTTACCCCCGGCTGCAATTATTATCAATCCTCCAAATATAAGACTCCATAAAAATTGTGTCAATACTGGTTGAACAAATGCGGACACGGAACACTGCGCGACATCCACTGTCGTATTAGAAATGTTATGTATTTCATAGTCATCGTAGAAGCTTGTAAAGTTGTATGCAACTACGGGTAACACAGTGACTGCCATGTTCGTATAACAACGACAATCCAAACTACGGTTTACGGGTAGGCAAACGACAGCTTTTTAAAATATGCAGTTCTGCCTCAATTATATTCTCTCACGCGTAATGTCATAAACCGGAAATTAAAACATCTCCTTGTGTTTGTTGTCGGTCCGAGCAATGTTGTACAACGTAATTGTCACGAGTATATGGTCTCACCTACGAACTTGAATTTACAGATGAAACATCGGCTTTAAATTCTTTGCTGTATACTGAATACCTGTGAAAACATTGAGAAGACATAAGCACTGTTAGCATAATACTAAAATAAATCTTTCTTTAGAATGAGAAATGAAATGATTGATTGATATTTGTAATAAATTAATGTTATTTAAGTTACCTTTTAAGGTGAACTCTTCGCGAATGATTGAATCAACTATTGCCCGTAATACGAAACACTGATATATACAGTCAATGACGTTTTTGCATTGCTTCAAGTAGTCCCACTGACAGCATTGGAAACGTAAAAGGTTGCCTATTTCCTCTGTCTGTCGAATGCGCAGAGTAACTTCTCCCAGAAGGCAGCGTTCTTAATGGTTTCCGATTATGGTGTTAGGTTCTGCCGCTCTTTATCCGAGAAATCCAGAAAGGTGCTGATAATCTTGAAAACTGGGGGCGAGCAAGAAAACAATGTTAAAGGCGTGTTTTATTGTTTCATGGCGTTCTTGGCCCATTTACATTACATAAACATGTTCTCTCGTCGTCCAATGTGTACTGTGGGCCATCATCACATGGTTCATGTATGCTAAGTATGTATTGTACATAGATGCTGTCACTTCGTATTTAATTACACACTCATTCCGTCATATGCTCCCTTGATAGTTAGGCATACCGCAGACAAATAACATGTTCATTAGTGTAAAGTAAACAATTGATTTTACGTCCCCGAAGGCGAGAGTAAAGTAAAGCTGTGCCGTCGAAGGTTATTTAACTTATTTATCGTGACTCGTGGATTATAATTTACCATTTACCAATATGTTGTACAGTGTACATATAGCGTTTAATATTTTCTAACAAATTATACCATATTTTATTCACGAGGAATGTGTTATTGTGCCAGGGGATGTGTGGTGAACAATCTGACAACATTTAATTCTCTGTGTACAATAATTCAAGTTCGACTCATAAGAAACACTGTTTATAATAATTAAACACTTAGTATAGTATTTAATCGCGAGGTCCGTGATATTACAATGAATACAGGACATTAACAATTAAAACATGAAATGAACTGACGCCAACATTTATTGCCCATGTCTCCGTCGAACATATAAATAAAAACAAGACGGCGATTCATTGCCTTCTTAATTATAGTTGTATACCCAGGCTGTTAATTAATGAATTATGTCTAGCAGTAACATGCGTTAATTGAGCCGGCGTTACATTAACTCTTCCAGTTACTGGACTCTTACTGCTGTTAAACATAAACTTTGCAGGGGTTATATTACTAATCTTTATTTTTTAAAGCAATAATGAACGACTCCTATACCCATGATGAGCGAATAGCTCCCTTTGTGCGACATATATGAGCGAGGCGTGAGCCGAGTACATATATGGAGTACAAAGTGTGCTTGAGTCCATTATGGGTTGTCGGGGAGTTTATTATTGTTATTATTTTGTAGCGTTGTCATTACCAGTGGATTTGCTTCCACTAAAAACCGGAAAATTTGGAGAAAAATCCACAGTGAACGAACGGAACAGTTTCGCGGTCATTGCCCGTGAATCTGCATAATTTAAAATGTATTTTTAGAAATTTTGTTCACAACCTCATATGATGAACTAAAAAGGAAAATTGTTTTAATTCAACAAATATTATTGTACATGTATTCAAATATTATTGTACATGTATTCAAATTATTTACATTTCGAGTGGACGAGTGACTGATGTGGAGTAGCATTGTAGTGATCGCCCGAGCGAACGGCACACCGTGACTGGTACGCCGTTTCCGTGTCCACCGCGGTCTTGCACTACGCTATGCTAGATCGCCGCTGCGGATCGACTGCGTACCCCGCGTAAATGCACGTAGTCGTATCATTACTCAATTCCACAAGTGTTCCATCAAGGTTGATGTTATTGGCAACTGTCCTGTCTGTGTAATAGTCATTTTATTAGCGATTTAATTTGACGAATACTTTGAAGCCAACTTAGAGGCGTGGCCAGCGAACGAACATGGCCGAAAAGCTAGTGGATGTTAGCCATCCTAAAAAGAGAAACAACAGTAATTTCAATCACTGTATAAATAATAACAAGAAAACCAAGAGCACGGATACACAGATTGTTTATGCAAACTGTGCCTCGGACTGTAACATTTATCGAGAAGTCGGTGCTGAGGAAAAACAAGTCAGTCGGTCTTTCATCGATCTTGTTTTGCAAATATTGTAACACTATCAGAACAAATTCATCTCTCTGTACTCGTGTCTGTAGACATATTCCCACGTTGCTTATAACATTTTCTTGGATTAATCACCCGGCCTAACCTTACTTCATCGACAAAATCGGGCGTAATTTAGAAGCGCGCGTTTTAGATGGGACGCCGCGACAGAGCGCGCTTTAGCGTACAGAGCAGATCACGATGCCCTCACAAAATTGCCTGATTCCGATATTAAAATACGCTGTTATTGGCGACAGACTATTTTATTTTATGCCAATTTTAGTATTTAATACTTATTACCCCGCAATTGCTCTTCTTTTTGAATAGCTTCTCCTATATTCGTTTTCGAAAGCAACATTTTATTCATTTTGCTCAATAATGGGATACATTATCGCGAATAATCTGCAGCAATGACGTCATCAAATTCACTGGTTATAATGCTATAATATAACAAGAATTAATGTTTTAATTACCTTTACAGAAAATGTAATTTAACATTTGGACCGCTTGGTACAGTTTTGGACAGTAAGACAGTTTACTATGTTGTTAAGTAGACAAACTCACTGATATTGATATTGTTATTCAAGAGTTAATCAAGATGGAAAAAAGAAGAACGTTTGTGTATTTGAAAGTTACCGAGTGAAGTATTAACCGTAGACGTTAAACTATTGATTCATTTTGCATTGCTATTATCTTTAACGTAGTCCTATGTCAAACTATGATTATAGTAATCCAGGCAAGCTGTAATTGTTATTCAGAATAATTATATTTCCTGAAACATTAGAGAGAACACATCTATTTTTGCAAAACAAGAACAATCAGAAAAATATTCCTATCTCAGGCGAGGTAACAAATGTTTGATGACCATCTGTTGATTATGATTAACATATTTTAAAAATGTATTCGATCTGTTAGTTTTCCGTATTGGGCGGTCTTAAGTGTGTGTCGTTTTATCAAATGAAAACAGGGCATTTGTAACTGTGTCGTCATAATATAATACAGTAGTACTGGATAGTCTCCCGAATTGTAATGCAATCCTCCCCTTATGCTTTATGAATCATGTCAATTTAATATCATAATCCCAGATGGCGTTATTATTATTTGATTTATCCGAAGGGTAAATCAATACTTATGAAATCATTAATTTCTCACATGAAAAAAAAAACGGTTGGTCTATTTACTTCATGGCAATTATAAGAAATGCATTTACAATTTCCGTTAGCTTACTAACCTAGACAAATATCATTCTATCTTGAAGTACATTGTGGTGGCGTTTCCAAGATAAAACTATTATTTTTCTCTCTCCGGGTATCGTTTTTTTACTGCTAGGAAATTGAAAACAGTAGGAACGAACTATTTTTCAAATTACAAGACTCCAACCTTGACTCTTGGCTTCTGTGCTTGCTTACACAGATAACATGCTAGCATTTAATGATATTGATGAAAATTCCAAACGCCAAAACATGTGTTGTTATATTTTATTGAACATTTAATAGTATGAACAAAATTACACATTATTTTACACATTAGCTGGTAACATAATTTGGTAGCAGAGAATAAAATCAAAGCTTATAAATGAAGGAAATTCAAAACCCATTTACCAGGTACATCACTCGAGAATTACATTGTTGATGAACACGCCATGTGACTGTAAGGTTAAGCGACCGTAACGCCAAATACATATCAGTAAGCAATAAATGAATAAATATTCAACTCATACATCGCTATAATAGTGTTAATATGTTTTTTTCGGATTGAATATACTCACCAATTTGTCACAATACAGAAATCATTCAGACTTGCTTTTAAAACATTTAGAACATATCACGTATTGGAACGCAAATCTGTGTTTCATAATCCCCCCAAGCTGCTAGTTATTAGCTTCTAATATGTAAACATTCGTGCACCAACGCAGTTATTCACTTAGTATAGTATCAGTATATAACTATGTTCGTAGATTCACGAGTGGATGACGTTTGGCGTTAATTACATGGTAATTACTATTGCACCATCAGTGTTAGTACTAGATTAAACTGAAAGTAGTGATTAACATAGTAAAAACAAAATGCAATTTTTTCTAATAATCAAATATAGTGTAAATTGCTTAATTTTTTTCAACAATGAGCATACATCAGCAAATATGTTAAATTAAAATTAGAATTGTTTAACTTGAAATGAAGGATAATCTCACGTTACGCGTCTGGGGAATGGGTGTAGTTTAAAAACGTAAATGAGTCAACACGCAATTGCCTTTGACGGACACTATTAAAGTAAGAATATGGTTGAACCAAGCAATGGACAAGTTTACAAACAATGCAAGCTAGGATAGTATTACAAAACTATGATAAAACAAGTCTCCCATGCCTCTATCATTTTTAACAAAATTGTAACACACAACTAAATTCATACGCTGTCTTACTATACATACGTAAGCAATTAGTTTGAGGGCGCTACAACAAATCGTGATGGCAATTAATCTATCTTAGAAACTAGTGTGTACATGGGCAATGGAATAATTTAAAAATGGCAGATTATTTTCAATAACAAAGACATCAAGACATCGTTCAGCAGAGAGTTTTACTCTTCGCGTTAAC